AGATGATATAAAATATATATTAATTAAAAATCAAATATTGTTTATAAAATTTAAAGATAAATAATAATAGAAGAAAAAGATACAATTTTTTCTTTTTTGGGTGTGGGGATTTCAAACTAGAGTTTTTCTACTATTTTGGGGGAGGGGATTCAAACTAGAAAGGCCAATTTAAGTTTTAACTGGTTTAGCTGTTTTTCAAAATTTATTTAAAAGTTATTTTAAAAGTCAAGTTAAGTATTTTTCTCCAATAAAATTTTAGATTTTTAAGAGAAAAATTTACACTTTTTAAGCTTTCCAAACACTCTCATAACTAATGTTAATATCTAACAATTGATAGCATTAACATTTAAATAGTAAGTATCAATTATTAAAAATTCACTACCAGCTTGAAAAGAGCCATGCTAAAAATAGTCTTAGTAAGTATCAAATTAGAAGCAGTAGTAGATCTAAGATCTATAGATTTTTTCTGAAAAGGAAAACAATTTGAAATGATAAATCTAACAATTTGCTAAAAGAAAAATGTAAAACGAAGAATCTTAAAAGAAACATCAATAAAGGCTCAAGACTGAAGAGGTAGAGATGGTAGTATACCTGTAAGAAAACACGAGAAACTAAAGAAAAGTAAACACTAATAATTAACCAGCTTAGGCCAAGGAGCAGATCCACTCGATTGCAAGCCTGATAGGTTCTAATCACAAGACCTGGGCTGGCTAAAGAGAACAGAGAAGTTCAAGAAGGAAACTGTTGGACATTTGTTGGAAAATACCTAGCCAATGCCCCTTTTTTTTTCTTTTTTTTTCTTTTTTGAACTGACGTAAAAGACGCCTAGCAAATGCTTGAGAAAAGAATATGCAAAGTGATGTTTATCATGAAGAAAGGTGAATGGAAGACAGCTGTCGGTACTGTATCATTTTCTTTTTAATATTGATGGTTTTAGGTAACAGAAATGGAATCTTTCTCTTAGAGAATTCACCATGGGGTGTAGGTTGGGCTGTTCAGCGTTTGGTTCAGTTTTGGACTTTTTTTTTTTAGTTAACTAACCAAATTTATTATTATTTTTTCTTTAAAATTCAATTGAAGCAGGTGTAACCTTTGTACTTCAAGTAATGAAATTTTTTATTCAACTAAAAATATAAAGCAGGAGCATAGAAGGCCTCTTTAGTTATTAGTTTTAAGATTGTTTGTTTTTGCATTGAGTCTTTTAGTTTTATTTGAAGTTTTAGTTTTAGTTTAATTAGTTTTAACATGTGATTTTTAATTAAGACTAAAATTAATAGATTATTAGAAATTTAAGTTAGAATTAAAATAAGATTTTTGGTTATTGTTAGTAGTATATATACTTGCTCTATTCAAATTTTAGTTGACTTAATTTTTTCTCTAATAAAATAGGAATCAATGTGATAATTAATTCATAAAATTTCATAAATATTTTTAATTAGTCACTACTTAAACAAACATTTTTTGTGACATTGTATATGTTGCAATTGTCTTATTAAAATAAAATAAAAATAAAAATAAAAATATTAAGTAACATGTTAAAAAAACAATTAACTTTAAACAAGCTGGATAATAAATAAGTTAAAGTAAAAGGATAAAAGGTAATAGCTAATATTTTAAGTAATCATAAAGTAGAATTTCATTGGAGGCAACTCCTTGTTAGTTGCAATATGTTTGGATTGAAAATAATAAAGAGACAAGTGAAGGAAAAAAAAATTTTTACTTTATTTTTTTTAATTAATTTATTTATCTAAATAAAAAGAAAGAAAGGAAAGATAATCGAGGAAAATGGAGGAATAAAATTCCACTCACTTGCATTTTTCTCCTTTCCTCTCAACCCAAACACATAGTTAAAAGTGCTTAGAAAACTCTAATTTAGAAAAACTAATACTGCCTCTATAGTAACATAACTACCTTTGTAAATGGGTTAAATATCCCGTGTATTCAAAAAATAATATCCTTTTGTTTTTTTTTTAAGACATAATTGTTATTTTTTT